AATTACCAAATCAATTGGAATAAAATTGAATGTGAAGATTCTAACTATGGAACAGAAACTCTAGGAATGAGAACTTCATTTGTTAAGAGAAAAATATCTGAATGGTGTAAAAAATTTATGTCACAACACTCATTTAGGAAATATGGTAAGAAAACTAGTTTATGTTGTTATGGAGAAATAGTAGTAGTACCACAATTTGGTTGTCACCAACCATCCAAGAAACTATATTATAAAAAGAAATTTAAAAGATATCTTAAATCTTGGAAGAAAAATAAAGGATTTAAGAATCATATGAAATATGTTAAGAAGAAAAAACCATGGAAAAATGAATTTAATCAATATATAAATCTTCAGAATAAATCTAAAGAAAGATTTTATAAAAAAATGTAAATGTTTTACATGTAATGAAAAATGTCATATATCTCCTAATTGTCCTAATAAAAATAAAAAAGAAAATGTCAAATCTATTAGATTGATGGAAGAAATAGAATACGATTTAAAATATGAGATAATTGAAGATTTAGATGAACTATTTGAAGCAGACTCAATTTATGAGCTAAATATAGAAGATATTGAAGAATCAGAATATGAACAAATCTACATGAAACGGGAGATTATTGACACTACTGAAATTACATTAGATACTGGAGAAGGAACTTCACAAACTGTTGTAAAAAAAAGATATGGAGCAATAAAAGAAAAATAAATATCTTTAAGAGATAAAAATGTGTTTGTAAGACCAATACTACTTTGGTTCAACAAAACTATATACATTGCTAACTATGATGAAATACCTATTAACATCGAAAATGTTAAATGTAACACCACTATACCTCTAATAACCAGAGAACAGGTTAATGGAGAATTAGCTAATATAAAAAGAACCACTAGAGAGAAATTAAAGAATATTGTGATTGGAGGAATCCAAATCATGAGTAAATGATATTTTAGAGAATGAATTGATATTCCTATACAAATATACTTAATGGATAATAGAATTCTTCATGATCCTATGGACGCCTTATTAGGAGTTGTCTCTCGAAACCCTGTTTACAAGAAAATCATACACACATGCATTATCTGAAATCGGATAAATAATGCCCGCATCAAGCCACTTTACTACCTCACTTCATTCAAATTCATGAAAACTTTAGAGATCTTGCACAATTTACACCACTAAGAATGTTAAGCAATAATAACATTTCCTTACCACAAGATATATTGCTTGATTCTCATCAACAATCTCGAAGAATAGACAACAATGTAGGAAATCAAGGATTAGTCACCTTGAATATCTTAGGACAACTTGCAGCTAGAATACCTAGTAGAAGAATAGAAAGAAGTATCAGCACTTGAGAACTTTCAAGCTTTAGGAGACTATCAACTAGTAGAAATCATCCAACAATCCCTAGAAATAGTATTGATATTGATCTAAGAAAATGTGAGGAAGATAATTTCCTTATCTTAACAGAATATATCAATAATCCAAATAACTACGAAGAAATTATAGCTCTTATTAATGCAGGAGCTAGTACTAGTCATAATAAAACAAACTTAGTAGAACATTTAATAGAAGAGAATTTACCACAAAGAATAAATCTTACCGATTATCACGGAATTAAATATGAAATTAGAACATTTGTTAATTTCGAACTAAGTTTCACAGAAATGAAGGAGAACAATTTAAATTAAATCTTAAAATTCATAAAAATTATGGAAAAGGAAAAGATACTAGCCCAATATTACTTGGAATGAACTTTTTTGGAAATGTTTCACCATTTTATATCCAGAAAGATACTCTACAAATAAATATAAAAGGAAAACAAAAACTTCTTCCTAGAGTTAATAAAAACAAGGAACCAATTTATATGATACATGGAATCAGATCAATCAAAACTAGTATACTTAATCCATATATTGAGACAACTCTCAATTTACCAGATTATTGTATGATAAAATTCCATGCCATAATTGATACTGGATCAGGTATTTGTCTATGTAAAAGAAATGTCTTCCCGAAATATTATTATAAAAGAGATTATAAGAAAACAACTTATGGTCAAACAGACAGTGATATTGTAGAAATTTATAAAGATTTTGTAAAAAATGTTCCTATCATTATAGGAAATAAAGAATGTTTTATTCCACGAATATATGCAATAGATAAAATTGGATGTGATATCATTTTAGGAGAATTTTATCTATACATATAGCCCATTTACATAATATAAAGATAGTTTTGAGTTTACTACACCTTGTAATTACAAAATTAAAACACCAAAAATCTATAAAGCAATTGGAATTGCATATCAACCAATTTACCATAGGCCTAGATATCAGAGTTCTGCGTGTAATCATAGTGAATGTTATACACAAATTAATCAAAAACAAAAAAATCCGGTATTAAGAATTGAAAATTTAGAAGAAGAATTAAAAAATATTAAATTAGAACTAAAAGAATGTTATCATGAACATCCTCTAACTAAATGGGATAAGGATAAACCTAAGGCAACCATTGAACTAAAAAGACCAGATGCTAAAATATCAGGAAAACAATTCCCTTATAGTGAAGAAGATAAAAAAAGAGTTTGAAATCCAAATTAAAGAACTCTTACAATTAGGAGTAATAAGAGGATCAACTAGTCCATATAATAGTCCAATATTAATGGTAAGAAATCATAGTGAAATAAAAAGAGGAAAAACTAGAATGATAATTGATTATAGAGACTTAAACTCTAAAACTATACCAAATAGCTATAAATTACTAATAAAAGAATTGATAATAAAACAAATACAGGGAAGCAAAATATATTCTAAATTTGATTGTAAATCAGGATATTGGCAAATAAAATTATATGAAACTTCAAAACATTTAATTAGTTTTACTACCCCTAATCCATTAGGACAATTTGAATGAACCGTTATGACATTCGGATTAATGAATGCACCAGCTATATCTCAACAAAGAATGGATAACATTATCAGACCNTTAATGAATGCATCAGCTATATTTCAACAAAAAATGAATAAGATTATTAGACCCATAAAAGATTTCTGCATTGTTTATGTAGATGATATCCTTATTCATAGTAAAAATTTTAAAAAACATATAGAACATCTTAAAAAGTTTTATTATATTGGCAGAAAATATGAATTAGCTCTATCTGAAAGAAAAGCGGAAATAGCTAAAACTGAAATCGAATTCTTAAAATATATTTTTACACAAGAAAAAATACTTCAACAACCTCACATTGGAACGAATATTATTGAATTTTCAGAAGTAATTAGATATAAGAAAGAGCTGCAAAACTTTATTAGATTATTAAACTATTACGAAAAATTTATAAAGAATTGCTCAAAATATAAAGTTCATTTAACCAGAAAACGTAGAAAATGAGTTGTATGGGAATAGATACAAAAAGATATTAATATGATAAACAAAATAAAGAAGATATGTGAAAATGTACCAGAACTGAACATTCCTAATGATGATGATTTCTATATTTTAAAAAC